AGGCTACCTTAGAGATGAAGTTATCCTTGGTCGGGTTCCCTGTCCACAGATAGGCTGCTGCAACCCTTCGGAGCCTTCGAAGTGTTGAACCTGGGGGTGACCACAGGGTGCCCGCATACCATAGCATGGAGAAGATGGAGGCATTGAGGACCAAGGCTCTCCCGTACAGGGAGGTATAAATGGTAAACCATGCATCCAGCTTTGCTAACATTTTGGTCATTTGATCAGGGGCCATGGAGTGATGTGGGCCCTCGTTCGCTAGCCTAATCCCTAGATACCTCAACGGTTGGTGTGGGGGCAGCCACTCCATTCCCCCATGGTCAGGGGGCTGGGGCTGTTGGTGCTGCTGGTCGTATGTAAGCCACCATCCTATCGTTTTGGGCCAGTTAATTCTCATTTCCGATGCCAACTGGAATCCTTCCATCGCTTTTGTGAGTGCTTGAAAAGAGGAATTCGTGGCCCTGATGAGTACTGTGAGATCGTCTGCGAATAGTATCGTGGTGGGTAATTCTATTATACGCCCCCGCTGGTCCGGTTCTGCTATTAGACGATCGATTGAAGGGTCTTTCCTAAGGAATGAAGCTATGGCTTCCATGATAAAGAGAAAGATGGGGGCGGCTAATGGGTCCCCTTGCCTCACTGATCTAGTCATTTTGTATGTGTCTGAAAGATATCCGTTGACTTGTACCTGGCCATGTGAATCGTTGTATAATACTCTCACCCACTTGCGAAAGATGGGCCCTACTCCCATTTTTTCCATACATTGTTGAAGAAAAGGCCAGCTGACCTGGTCGTATGCTTTTTCGAAATCAAAGAAGAGGATGGCTGCGTTCATTCTTTTGTTCGCTATGAATCTCACCGATTCCGATAAAGTCATCACGTTGTCCAGTATGAATCTCCCTGGGATAAAGCCAATTTGATCCAAGTGGAAGCAGTTGGCCGTTAGCCTCCTCAATCGGTTCGCTAATGACTTGGCCACTATCTTGTGTGTTAGTGTTAGGAGTGTAATCGGTCTGTAGTTTTTAATGTCCCTAGGGTTTCCCTTCTTATACAATAAGGTGACTACCCCTGTTGATGACTCCATTCCCATGCCTTCGTTGATCCATGCCTGGTTCAAGAAGGTTTCGTATTCCCCTCCCAAGATTTCCCAGTATTCCTGCCAGAATTCCCTTGTTAGTCCATCCCTGTCCGGCGTTTTGTTTGGAGGCATTGTATCTAAAGCCACTCTCAGCTCTTCTTGCGAAAGCGGGGTGTCTAGCATCTCTGCCTGGACCCCATTCACCGTGCGGTCCAGGTAGGCTAGGAATTTATTATGAACTTCCTTTACCTGTCTTGGATCATGGTCCCCTTCTCTAGACCTATAGAGTGAGGTGTAGAAGCTACTGGCTACTGACAACAACCCTGCAGGATCTGACACTACTCCCTCAGAGCCTTCCAACTGCTCTATTAGCGAATTCCTACCTCTTGTTTTAATCTTTTGAAAGAAGTACTTTGTCATTCGTTCTCCCTCTTCCCACTCTTTTACTCTTGC